CAATAAATATTCATGGAATAAGTGAAGGGATGCTTTGAAGAAAGGAGGAAGGAGCACTCTTCTAGAAGCGGATCTTGCAGGGAGTGGTGCAGTGTGGCCACAGCCAGATCCCTGAGGCAAGACTTTAAATTTAGTCCTCCCTAAGGTCACTGAAAATTGGTTCCTGCTTCCCAGCTGAGGAAGCCTGCGGTAGTGGGAGCCCAAAGCTTGAGTTCCTATTCCATCTGGGCCTCTTTTTGGCTCTGCGCTCTGGATGCACATCACTCCCCTTCTCTGAGCCTCAGTTTCCTCATCTGTTTATTGGGGGCATTATCACCTACCTCTCAGGGCTGGCATAAAAGACCCCATGTGCGAGTGATGCCTGTGTACTTGGCATTCAATGAATGTTTGCTCCTTCCAGAAACAGTGCTAATTTGCTAAAGGGAGCAAGGTTCAGACAGGTGTTTTTGGGGGGAGATCAAGGAGGAAGGAAGAAGAGTAAGACCATAGATGAAGACGAGGCTCGAGGGAAGAACAGGAGGGCTGGGGGCTGGAAGGGCAGGAAGATGCACCAGAAGGCTGAGCTGTGAACAGGGCACTCTGGGACCTCACCTGCCTCAGATTTGAGGCTGCTCACAAAGCTCCTCCTTGTCCCCAAGCTTGGTGGAGCCTGTTAGAAGTGGTGATGACTGATGATTAATTATGCCCATTCCATGAGTGAGGAAACTGAGGCTCAGGAAAGTGGTGGGTGATATGAGTCTGCTAGAGTAGTCTACCCCTGCTAGAGTAGAAGCTTCTCAGGTTCAAGGGCTGCTCACCCCCATTTCTGTCTCCTCAGGGCTGAGGTTGCTGACTGAAAACAGGAGCGGGTTCTCAGTGGGTTTCCAGCCCCAGCAGACCCCACGCTCCATTTTTTTAAAAACATGTTTAACGTTTCTTTATTTTTGAGAGAGAGAGAGAGAGAGAGAGAGAGAGAGAGCGAGCAGGGGAGGGCAGGGAGAGACAGAGACACAGAATCCAAAGTAGGCTCCAGGCTCTAAGTTGCCAGCACAGAGCCTGACGTGGGGCTCAAACTCACGAACCATGAGATCATGACCTAAGCCGAAGTCGGATGCTTAACTGACTGAGCCACCCAGGCACTCCCCTCCCCCACGCTCCATTTTATAACAAATATTCTGCAATACCTGTTTCCTGTGATGGAATACAATTCATAGGTAATATAATCCTACTTATACATTCCTAATTTGGGGGGAAAAAAGATAATATCCTATCTGAAACTTAAAGAAGAAATAAAAGGAAGGTAATCTATGTCTTTTGTTCATGATTTAATTTTTGAAATTGAGATATAATTGATATAACATTATACGTTTCAGGTGTACAACGTAATGATTAGATATTTGTTTATACTGTGAAGTGATCACCCCAAGAAGTTAACATCTGTCACCATACAAAGTTACAATTTGTTTTTTTGTGGTGAGAACTTTTAAGATCTACTCTGTCAGCACCTCTTAAATATACAATCGGTGTTATTAATTGTAGTCACCATGCTGTACATTACATCCCTGTGACTTACTCATTTTATAACTGGAAGTTCGTAGGCGCCTTTTCTTTAACCTGTACGCACGCAGGAGGACTCTTGTTAGAACAGGACTTCTCAAATTGTGATGTGCCTAGGAGTCACCTGGGGCTCTTGTGAAAATGCAGATTCTGAATCAGCAGGTCCGGGGTAGGACCTGGGAGTCTACACCTCTAACCAGCTCCCAGGTGCTGTCCGGCCGCTGTTGCAGGCAGCAGAAGGTCGCGTCCAGCTCCCAGGGCCCACGCAGCTGCCCTCCCTGCCCGCCTCGGCCCAGAGCTGCCTGGTCCCCAGGCCCGAGCAAGGGGCAGCCCTGTCCAGGCCCGCCCCGACGACTGCCCAGCCTCATTCCTGGCAGCGGCGAGACAGCAGTTCCCACGGGAGGAGCCCGCCCTGGGGGAATGGACCGTGGGGGAGGGAGGGAGGCCCCGGGAATTGAAGTCCAAGGAGGCGGGGCTTCCGGGTCTCCGGTCCTGCCAGCCCCACCCTCTTCCCTGCCAATGGCTTGGGTCTCAAACTCCCAGGGCAGTGATCACTTGCCCAGCCTGCCCTCCCCTCCCCTCCCTTCCCCTCCCCTTTTCTTCTCCTCTTATTCCCTTTGCCCTCAGTTTGGGCTAGGCCCCTGTGGTGGGAAGCCCAGAAGAATTCAGCTGTTTTCTACCCTGAAGAAACTCCATGTAGGGGCTAGCAGACGGGCAGGCAGACGCCTTTCATCTTTAAGGGGTTTTCTGTCAAAGGGGAGGTGTGGGGGGAAAGTCACTTTTGAGCCTTTCTGGGTGCCAGTCAGGGAAGGCTTTCTGGAGGAGGTGAGAGCCCATCAGAACGTGAAGCCTGTGGAGGGATGCCTTGGACAGCCCCTCTCTCCCAGAGTCCCGGCCTGGCCAGGGTCTGCTGACGTGGGGCAGCTGCAGGGACATCGGTGCTGTCAGGATTCCAGGGGGACACTGTTTTTAGAGGCCAGAGTTAGAGCAAAGAGTCTCATACGAAGGAGAGGGCTGGGTCTGAGGCCCAGCTTTGCCACTAACATGCTGTGTGCCTCCTGGGGCAAGCCCCTTTCCTATCTGGGCCACTATAAGGAGATGGGATCTGAGGATCCCCAAGGCTGGTCCAGCTCTAAAGCCTGCAATCTTTGGGGTCCAGTGAGGAAGATTTGTCCCGTCCTGAGGTAGGGAGGCCAGGTAGCAGGCTTATGCTGGGCTCAAGCTGGTTCTTGGCAGAGCTGGGGTCGAGGGTCCTGGAGAGACTTTGAGCTCTCCCACTTGAGAGCTAGGCCAGATTGGTCCACTTTCTGGGCTCTGCTGGAAGGCAAAACATCAACCCATACCGACACCAATAATAACTGTCCCTCCCTCCCAGGAGTACTGTACCCTGCAGCTTACAAAGCACTTTTCTTGCCACTACCTCATTTGATCCTCACAAACTTGGTGTTATTGCCATTTGACAGATGAGAAAACAGATGGCCAGAGAAGCTAAGTCACTAGTACAGGGTACCAGAACTAAGAGGATATGCCAGTGCTTGGACCCAGTAGCCCATACATGTTTTAGGAAAAGTTTCTTGGGTCTCGTGGGTCCCCTGGATCTGAATTACCCAGAAAAGACAGCCCTTCCGATGCTTGAATACGGGGCCCTGAATTTCCATCAGGTTTCCTAACTTTGGATATTAGAGCAGGAGGGCTAAATCTCCCACTGTACAGATGGGAAAACTGAGGTGTGGAGAAGAGAAGAGTCTTGCCCAAGCCCATAAGCCAGATAAGATACTGGCCTCCATCCCCTAGGCTCTCAGATGAAGTTCCTGGGACTTTCACAGCTCTCTCTCCTCCTGGCAACAGGGAGGCCTGTGTCTGGGGACAGTGGGAGGAACAGTTTAGGGCAAGAATCCTCCAAATCGAAGAGGGAGCCTGGCAGAGGTGGGGAGGGGTTAGCCTTAGAAAATGTACTTTGCCTTTAGGCCTTATTTCCTAAGACAGAGATGTGTCACTAAAGCAAGGAGGAGCTGGTGGTGACTTTTAATTTTGTTTTGTTTTCCACCATTTGCTTTTCCAGGCAGGAGGACTGCAGAGGTGCTGAGCCAATCCCTCCCCAGGCCTGCTCCGCTTGGGGCGCAGGGGCCTGTGAGTCTAGGGCTGAGCCAGGGCCTGTGTGCAGATGGAGGTGAGAGTGTTTTCTGTGGCCTATCGGAGCCCAACCCAGAACCAGGGTGGGGCTCTGTCTGGGCCTGGGTGGAGATCTTTTGTCACCGGGCTCAGGCCCAGTTTGTGACCAGGGTCAGGGCTCATCCTGAGATCAGGGAACAGGGAGAAGCAGCCCTTCCAGGACAGACCCAGCCCAGGATTCCAACTCCAGGATGGTGAGTCAGGCGGCCTGGCTGGGAGCCCACTCCTGGGCTCCTGGGCTGGAGCAGAGGCTCCGGTGAAGGTGATGTCCCTGAGCTAATACGCAGGGTCCCAGTTCACTATCAGATGTATCTTGGGGGCAGATGACCTCCTGTCTCCACCCACATCCCCCCCCACCAGACGGCCTACCCTCCAGACTCTGTGGACGTGGTTGGCTGCCTCCTGCTGATCCTGCTCCAGGCTCTGGAGTTTACAGGGGCAAGTGGTGGGGTCGGGGTCTCTCCCTGTCTTCAGGGCTCTGTCCAGAGGTATGTTGGTGAACTGGGTAGCTGGGAAAAATTGCAAAAACTCCCCCACTGTGCTTGATTTCAGCCTCCCCCTGCTGTTACTGCATGCAGAATTGGGAGGAGATTCACAGACTCAGCTCTCACAAGCCAGGGGGAGCCAGCTCCAGCACGCCACTGGCTCTGTCCCAGGACTGTGTCTTCCCCAGGTCCCCCGCAGCTAGCTTACAGGGTCCGGTTCACTCCCAGGAGCAGGGTTTCCTATCCTGTCCTTGTGCCTATTGTGAGGGTGACGGTGGTTATGATGGTGGCTGTAGGTGACATCTGATTGTGACGGTTGAGGCTTCAGTTGCTACTATTGGTCTCTTCTCGGTGGCAGGGGAGGGGCCTGTCAAGGAAGTGCCTCCGTCTCCCTAGGGAACCGCTAGGTGTTGGTGAGCACGAGGGCTGGTTAGAGCCTGGCTTCCTTAGGGCTAGATCATGGCTCCATCCTGGACCCTGGAAGCCTGACATGGCCTAATGGACACATGTCCTGCCATTATCCCCCACCCCTCGTGCCGCGATGACCAAGCCTCATGTCATTGAGGAAACAGGAGCCCAGCATGGGGGAAGCCCTCACCTTACTGCTACCGTACACCTACCTGGACTGTGCCCATCTCCTCTTTCTTCCTGACTCATCCTTGAGGACAAGTCCCTCCTCATATGAAAACAAACAACCCACCAACCCCCCAAAAAAACAAAAAAACCAGCCCCCAGTGGCTTCCCATTGGCTGGAATGAAAGGCCAGTTCTTTATCTGACTTTTACCTCACTTCTGCCTCCCACTCAGCTTCTCATTTACTCCAGCTACACGGCCACACGTTCTGTTCTGGAAGCCTGCTCCTGCCCCTACGTCTTGAGCCCACAACTGCCCCCCGTCTCTGTGCATCTGGCTGCTCATCCTTCCAGCCTCAGCTCGAAGAGGCCTCCCCTGACCTCTCCCTCTGAAGGGCTCCCCAGCTCCTCTCTCTGTTTCGGCCCTCTCACATTTCAGGCCCTGCAGTTGCCTCATCTATGGATGTGTTACCGGTTTGACTCTCTTCCCCGCTAGATTGTAAGCCCCATGGGCCAGGGACCTCATCCTCTGCTATATTGGTACCTGGTTGGTGCCGAATAAATGGATATGGAATCAATGAATAGATGTCCATGTTCCTTTCCCTTTCATTCTCCCTAGGCCATTGATATAACATCCTGTTTGAATGTCTAGGCCTGCCTTCTGCTCTGCGCTGGGCTGTAAAGGGAAGGGGCAAAGCGTTCCATCTGCATTTGACCAGAGTGTACAAGACGGGCCAGTGTCCCATAGGGGGAACCTGTGGTGGTGGCAGTAGAAGTTGGTGGGTGATCGCAGGGGCTTTGGGTCTGGTCAGGTTTGAAAGGTCCAGTCGCCTCCCTCTTTATTCCCGCCTAGGCACTAGGCTTCCTTTGAGTGGCCTTTCTTTGTTTTTTTTTTGGCCTCCCTGCCTCCAAACCCTCCTGCCATTCGGGGCAAGACCCCACTGTGGGAGGCCCCATCACCCACTACTGAAGCTGAAGGGGACTGCTGACCCCTCCTCGCACCCCTGGCAGGTAGGACGGGGACACACAACCTGGGCTCAGCCATGTGGATGCTCCAGCCCAGGACTTTGAATGTCAAGTGAGGGATACAAAGACAGGAGGGCTTAGAACTCGCTCAGAAAGGTGGTAGCAGTGGTCAGTGTGGTGTCTGATGGTGACCATCAGGTCTGAGTGTCGTGGAGTGGGGCCTGGTCTGTCCAATGCTAGCACTTCCTTGATCCCGCCCTTCACCTGACCTGGATCTTGGGCTTTGTGTCCATTCTGGAATGCTGCTGCAAAAGAACCCCATGATGTTGCTGGCCGGCAGGAACAGCCTAGAGGTGGCAGGAAACAAGAACAACATACAAATACCCTCCCCTCCCCTCAGCAATAACAGCTAACACTCACATGGTTCTTATCATGTGCCAGGCACTGTTTTATTTTTGGTCCTATTTTACAAAGGAGAAAACACAGGACTGCGCCTCACTTTAGCTTTCCAAACCCTGCCCAACTGAATCTAATTGGTGGAGCTTGTAAACTGAGGGTTGATGGCGGGGGAGGCGGGGGAGAGGGAGCAATGGGTGATGGACACCGAGGAGGGCACTTGTTGGGATGAGCCCTGGGTGTTGTGTGTAAGCGATGAGTCCTGGGAATCTACCCCCCAAACCAAGGGCACACTGTGCACACGGTATGTTAGCCAACTTGACAATAAATTATATCAAAAAAGATAATAATTGGTGGAGCTTGTTCCACAGGCAGATGCTGGAGGGAGGGAAATGTAGTTGTTAGCTCTCCAACCTCCCCATCCGGAGGGTCAAATGAAGGCCGAGAGAAACCCAGCCCTGAGGTCTACCTGATAAGTCACCACTGTTGCTGTCACCTCTCCCTCAGTGCTGGGATCTAGCACCACCATTAGCCATCACCTTAACCACCCATCAAGTCACCATCAAGTCAGTTACCAGCCCCGTCGCCTCCTCCACCAACATCAAGATCTGAGCCATCAGCTTTTCCATCACTTGACCACGTCACCATCAGTGTCACTGTCACCACTACCGTGATTACCCTCATTACCTCCATCCCCAGCGGCAGGGTGGTGTCGAGGGACCAGTGAGGTCACTTCCTTGCCGTGGCACTCAGGGAGATAATTGCCTAATGAGATGGTTGCAGCTCTGAGCTATTAGTTACCCTGTGTAACTAGGAAAATCTTCCTAGGCTCTGACGAGGCTGAGGTTGGTTTATAAACAGGAGGGGTCTGCGGCTGTGAGTATGGGTGTGAACATCCAAGATAGGCCCTCTAGGAGGTCATTTCGTCCACCCCCCCCCTTCCTTTGTCATAGAGAAAAGCAACACAGTATAATAGTTAAGAGGGCTGATAGAGAGGCACCCGGCTGGCTTAATCACTGGAGTGTGCAACTCTTGATCTTGGGGTTGTGGGTTCGAGCCCCATATTGGGTGTAGAGCATACTTAAAATCTTTAAAAAAAAAAAAAAAAAAAAAAAAAGAGTGCTCTAGAGTCAGCCCAGATCAACTTAAAGTGATTTCACCTTTCTGGGGCTCCGTTTCTTCATCTAGAAAATGGGAATTATAAGAACTATCTTATAGAGGAATGTGGGGAGTAGAGGTAATGTGAATAAAGAACCTGGCACAGTGCCCAGAACCCAGGAGGCTCACGAGTGGAAGTAACCAGTATCTTTCATTTTTAAAATGTTGATGTAAGGCTCATTTTGTTCCGGGCACTGTTCTGAGCACCTTACACATTTTAGTTTATTTGTTTTATTCTTTTAAGCAGGTTCCACGCCCAATGTGGGGCTTGAACTCACACCCCTGAGATCCCATGATCTACCAACTGAGCCAGCCAGGTGCCCCTTCAGTTGATTTATTCAAGCTTCATAAGAGCCCTAAGAGATGGGTACTACTTTTGCTCCCGTTTTACAGATGAAACCGAGGCACAGAGAGGTTAAGTAGTTACCCAAGGTTACACAGCTGGTTAGTGACAGAGCTGGGATTTTAATGCAGGGAGTCTAGCTTAAGTCTGAGCTATTGATGCTGATGCTCTTTGTCAGCAAATGCTTCTTCCCTGTTCTAAAAAGTTCCCTTTCTTGCCCCGTCCAGGTTGTAAAACACTCTGCCTTTTTTTTTTTTCTTTTTTTTGCCCAGCAATTAGAAAGGGACCTCCAGAAGTCACTGCCTCTGATGCCTCGTTTGGGGACAGAAATGCCCCCATTCACCTTGTCCAGGGTCTCCCATCCCTTCCAGCCAAGAAGTCCTTCCTGTTGTCCAACCTGAATTTGGGCCGAGGCAACAGTTCCCAGGAAGGAACCCAAGGGATACTTGTCAGGGGGACCTCAAGGAGGCACAGTGGAGGAGGGAGGGATCTTGACCCTGGGCTCTGAGAGTGGAATCGGGAGCTTCTGGGCACTTGAGGGGGGCAGAGCTCCGGGGCAGGCCTCCTCGTTTGCTGCTCTCCATACGGCCTTGTTTTCTCCACCTCTTCCTCCAAGACTGCATGCTTTTACCAAGCCTCAGGTCCCTCGCCAAGCCCCCCTCCCAAGCTTATGCATGCTTCACCCAGGCCTGCCATGTTCCTGAGGGGCCATCCTTCTCCGTCCTTATCCCCTTTGCTAGGATCTTGGTGTCTGACAGCATTGCCCGATCCCTCGATTCTGCGACTCCATTCCGTCCCGGCTCCCCTACCCCCGGCAATCCCCGTGGCCTCTTCTCCCTCTTACGCCATCATGGTGGGGCTCCTCGAAGGGTTGGCACCAGACCCCAGGGCTTGGGCATCTCAATCACACCATGGCCTCGGCATGTCCCAATCCTACAGCTTCCCTTCCCAGTTTGGCCCGCGACTAAGCCAAGGACGCAAACCAGAAAGAAAGTTGGGAGTCCCTCCAGACTTGCCCCCTTTTTCCTCCCTTCACATTCTAGTCTGGCCATCTAGCAGTTAGTGAGTGCTTTCTGCGTACTAGGCTGAGTAACACTCAGAGCTCAGCCCCAGCTGAGCAAAGTGGGTTCCTGGACGTACATAACCCCCGCCTTAAGTTCCAACAAATATGGGAAATCGCAAAGAGCTTTGTAAGAGGTCTGGACTTTGCACAGTTAAGCTGGGGTCAGGAGAGCCCCTCTGGGGGGGTTGCTGCTCATGGATGCCAGGGGCACCACCCAGACCCCCTTCAGGCCTGGGCGCTCATTCCCCCAGAATGCTTCAAGGAACCAGAGCCCAGACGTGACCCTGAGACAGCCATCCAGCCATGAGCAAGTGGGTCTCTGCCTGGGACCCACTGGAGATTCTCCGGGGGGTCAGACTTCCTGTCCTTCTTCTCTCCATTCCCAGAGCCGCCACCTAAGCCTAGCATCATCTCATGCCTGAATCACCAAAGCGTCCAAAGTGGTTCCCCCTCCTCTCTTGCCTCTGCTTCTCTCTATAGGGCAGTCAGAGGGTCTCCAGGAGACTCAAAGCTGACCCAGCCACTCCATGGCTTCGGGCTCCCTCCCTGCCGCTGCCCTTTGTCATTTCTAGGACAAACTGAGCTCCTGACTCACCTCCCTTGATCCCCCCCCCCCACTCTCCGGTCAGCTGCTCCATTGTTGGGACACTGTGGCCTCTCAGCTTTCACATAGACTGTTCCCTCTGCCCGAGTGCTCTGTTCCACACTTCAGATTTCCGCCCAAGTGTCCTTCTGTCAGGGACAAGGTCCCTTTCTCCAGGGACAGCCTGCCACTGGTCAACAGGGAGGTTCAAAGGCTTGGCCACCCTGCCTCAATTTGGATTAATTCTAAAGGGCTGTCCCAGGTCCTAAGGGAACCATTTCTGATACCCTGCCCGCAATGAGTTGAGGCCTCCTGTCCCCTCATCTGTTAGACTGCCTGTATTTTTCATTCCCTTACTCCACTTCATAATTGTCTTCACTCTTTTAAACTTTTTCTTTTTTTAATGTTTATTTTCAAGAGAGAGACAGAGCACAAGTGGGGGAGGGGCGGAGAGAGGGAGACACAGAATCCGACGCAGGCTCCAGGCTCCGAGCTGTCAGCATAAAGCCCGATGCAGGGCTCGAACCCACGTGCTGTGAGATCGTGACCTGAGCCGAAGTCAGATGCTTAACCGACTGAGTCACCAGGGTGCCCCTGTGTTCACTCTTTTGTTCGGTGCCTCGCATGTACCAGGCCTGCTCTGGATGGAGAGACTGGTGATAACACATACATAACACTTAAGCGGTGCTGATCTGTATTCTGGAAGAAAGCGAAGGACAAAGGATGGAAGGAAGGAATGTGCTATCTGTTCAGAGAGCTGTATGAAGTGAGAGAGGAAGCCACAGAAAAGTCTGTGTGTGGAACATTCCAGGCAGAAGGAACAGCAAGGGCGAGGGGCCTTGAGGCCCATGGATTTGAGAAGCAAGGGGACTAGTATGTCCAGAACGGAACGAGTGAGGGCCAGAGCAACAGGAGACGAGTCAGGAGACGTTAACAGGATGCCGGTCACACAGGGCCTTGTAAGGGACAGGACGGAGTTTGGATTTTATTTCAAGTGAAAAGCTGATGGGAGGCTCAGGAGAGCATTCAGGAGGCTTCCGGCACTGTCTGGAAGCTGGAGGCCTCATTTGCAG